GAAACGTCAGCTTTTGTAATCGTTACGGTGGCCAATTTACCATTTCAACTTTGTTGATATATCCATCTTAAGTAGAGCTGAACAGCAAGAGTGTCCCCTTAAATAACCAGATAAATTATGAGACAGCTTGCATCGAAAGGCCTCGTACATCTGATCAAACATGATTCTTTCAAACACTTTGGAAAAAGCAGTCAATAGTGAAACTGGCCGATAGTCAGCCTTGTCGGTCTCTTCCGACTTCTTATATATGGGGGAAACATTGCTACACTTCCAAACCATAGGCCAACCGTAAATCTGTAATCGTAACCGTAAATTGTAATCTGTAACCGTTATCCTGTTAGAATGCCACACATACCAACACTCAGAGTTTGAAAATTTATGATATAATAAATAAATGTGAGGGTAGAGTCTACCTTGGCAAAAAGAGCTCAATGTTGTGGTAGCTTGTTACTCTGAGTTCTGTTCAGTGAAGAACATACCTCCTTATGTACAGTAGTTAATTAATTCGCTGGTGTGATGATCAAATGTACATGTGTTAGAATCGCATCCTTGAATAGATTCTCGCATTCTGATTGGTTAACGAAGCGAGGTATTTAGCGTGGAATTGCGAGTTGAAAACGAGGCTAAGTGAAATTGTTTCGCATCTATGTAAGCACAACAACTATCATCAAAATTGTTTTCTTATATTCATTCAGTTATGCGATTCAAGGAAAATTCATTACCTGACTTGTGAATTCCACCTTAAATTGCACTTGAAAACCAACATCGCACTCATCGCTTCGCGATTCGTGCAATATCGGTTTTCGCGTGCAATTTAACGCGGAATTCACGCGTCAGGTAATGAATTTTCCTATGATATTCTATAGGGCTATTGTTGGCAGCTTGTAAAATTTGTGAAGTTTTATAAGTAAAATTTATACAAGTGGCGGCATTTGAAAATGAGTTCTGTTCTTTTGTTTAATAAAGACGGCTTCTTAGCTCTGATTAGATAAAGTGGCACCGCTTGCTTTTGTTGCTCTAGGCCGGGGCGGTCGCTAAAATACTCCCAGTTAATTGGTGTTGTTGTCTTTGAGTTTTCAGGTATTCTTTGATAGTTCCGTGCTGTTTGAATAGTTTCTGTTCCGAAAAGAAAGTTTTTGTTGTGTATAGTGTTGTTTAAAAGTTCCTTCTGTTAGTCCAGTGTAATTCTTTCCGCTGTGTCTTTCTGTTGTTACGTTGGCGTTGTAGACGACGCTTGAAGTGAGGCAGTTGTTTTTCAGGGGGCAGTCGTTTTGTTTCCTGCATTTGCAGTTGTTTTCTGTGGAGGGTGTCTTACTTGCCTCGGGGATTTTTCGGTTGTGTTTCTTAATTATAGTTTTCAGGTTGTCAGTGCAGCTATAGCTAACTTTTATGCTGACAACCTGCAAACCATAATTAAGAAACACAACACAGAAATTCTTGAGACAAGCAAGAAATTAAAAATTAAGATAGTTCGCACTTTGCCTTTCAGTACATTCAGTCAAGCTGATAAAATCCTTTAGAAATGAGCTCTAATTAATCAAATATTTATGCAAAGTATGATGCCCAGTATTGTGATAGCTCAGTGAAGTTAAAGGTGTTAAAGAAAAGACTAGTTTCACCCCATTCCAATAATAATTTGATATCGTTATCCTTGCTCTGTTTTACACAGCATCAAAAATCACGGTCCAACATTATTATTAATACCAACTCCTAGAATAATCATGAATGAGTCAAACTGTTCTGCTCTTTTATTTTTTTGGCTATAACAACAAAATGATTTCAATTGAAAGATCGAAAGGGAACTGGCATTTTCCATAGGGGTGGTTCATAAACAGATACAATCAGTTGGTAAAATTTCACCAGTCTGACCTGTAATTATTATAAAACCCACATGACGTGATCAGTAGAGACCCAGCCTAGTGTTCCCGATGCAGCAAGATGGGCAAGCTCATCTGCAGTCAATCCTGTTAATAAGTAACAGAATATGATATACTTGTCATGTGACTTTATTACATATTTTCCAAGTGAGGGGGGAAGGGGTGGTAGACCTAAAAAAAAAAGCCAAGTGAGTGGACTACAAGATGTATATAAGATTATAAAGTTCTCAGCATGACTGCTTTCTAATTCAACAAAACTGTGATACCAGTGGTGGACCTAGGGGAGGGGCCTAACCCCCCTTATTTTGGGTAAAAAAAAGTCACAGAAGGAACAAAAAAGCCGGCAGGGCAAGCAAGAAAGCTAATCAGAATTTTTCAGCAACAAAATAGGCATGTCTCATTTTTTATGTCAGATCATTCTACTTTTTCGGGCTCCCCTTTTAAAAAAGACGTGAGCCGAGTACACGCGTTTTAGTCTTGTTTAAGTTTAAAATTTTGTAAACTTTATAGCATATTTTGGTAAGTTCCAGATCTAGAAAAATAAGCCTACACACCACGGCATCGCTCCACCTGGAGTCATTTCTGTATAAAAAAACTTACCATAACTTGGTAGCATATCGTCA